TGGGTCCAACTCACGTCGTGTCACAACACGCTCGGTTGAAATGAGCTCTGGATCTCATCCCTTGAGTATCACAGCTATGGCGATTAGTGTTTGTTTCCCCACTGAGTCCTGGTTCTGCATTAATAGCTATTTCCGATGCTTCCAAAACAGAGCTCCGCAACCTTTTTATCGCTGCGGAACGGTCAACGTTTGATAATTTTACCTCGGCCCACTGAGGGTGGGACACGTTAATTGTTTATATTTTGGATTGTTTTGATTTAACAACTTTAATTTAATTACATTTAAATATGCCTTCAGAATAAAATATATTTACACCAAAAATGAAAAAAAGTGATTTAACGTGGAATATGAGGTGATTTCCGTGGAAAGTTACGCAAATAAGAGAGAAATGCACCACTTTAAAAAAATGACAATAGTTTAATGTTCTTTAGGCGGCCCAGCACCATTTGATCCATGGACTGGGGGTTGCGAATGAATGATCTAGAAAATGCCAGAAACTTGATCTCAACCTTACAATTTAATGGAAAGACAGAACTACAGCTAGGCTGGTGTCATGGTTTCGGCAAAGGTATCAGTGACAGGCCAAACTGATCTCTTTGTCTTTCATCCCCAGCTGTGACAGCAGTTATTTATCGAGATGTAATCCTCAACCCAATGCTTGTCCATATCTGGCAGCCATGTATCCTGATGTGCGATAGCTCAAGAGTTGATAGATCTCGTGTTGTCAATTGATACGTGGAATGTGAAACACTGCTTCGGATGGAATGGCTAACGCGTTTGTGCAACTTGAACCCAATTGAGCATGTCTGGGAAAGGCACATGAGACTTATTCCTGTTCTGTATAATCCCCTGGATTCTCAATGGCTTTACAACATGTCTACTTCGAGAATGGGAACAAATCTTACAAAGTGTGATTGACGTCCTTTTTGCTAGTATGTATTGTTACGTAGATCTGGGTTCGTGGATCTCAAGCAAAACAATCACAAATAAAATAAACAATTCTCTAAGAGCGATGTGAATTTATTATCAAAACTCCAATCTTTTAAATACAGGATTCAGCGACAATATCCACAGGGTAAATATCCGAAGGTCTTCACACCTTCGACAGCAATCAAACACAAATAATCAGTGTTTAAAAATACACGTAAGTAAAGATTATTCACATGCACAGCCGAGCTAATCGCTAGTCAAAACAATCCTCACTACTCGCTGGTTTTGTCAAGACTGATCTGTTTGCGGCTGGCACTAATATTTATAAACCCGACGGAAACTTCCAGAAAAATCCGCACGCATCATTAAGCGTGAACTTAGTGGCGAGATCCACTACTTTCTAGAAGAATCCAGAGGGTCCCAAACTCGCCAACATAGACGCCAATGACACCAAAATGGTCGTCGAATTGACGACTAACTTGGTCGCCAAAAAATGATGCCAACTTGGCTCTACCGCTAAGATTTCGCCAAGTTCTCCTTGGATCGCCTTTATAACGTAAGGGGCAGCATTGCTTGTGAATAGTACAATTTTAACATGAAATAAATATAACATAGAGTAATATAAATGCATTAAACACCCAAATAAAAATTATTTACACAAAATTCGTCACAGTCGTTGCTGCCGAATCTGCACCTACAGTAGAGGTAGTCATACAGTCAACTGATAAATGCTTACAACTAAACATTTTTAACCCAAATTAGGGACAGGACTCTTTATACTGCTGAAACTTGCATTGGGTTTCAATTAAATGCTTGCATTTTATTACCGCTTTTCTGTTTGTTGCTTATATTTTTGTTCAGAGTGTATATAAAAGCTAACCATAAAATGCAATTTTTTTTAAATTGGTAAACAAGTTAAAATAATTTATTCCTGTCGTTTTTTAATAACATTTGAAAACATATGGACTATTAATGTATTAATTTATTTTATATTTGATCAGTATTAGAAATTTAATCTAATTTCTTAAGAGAAAAATCAAAACAAATTTCAGATTGTCAAAAGTATCACCATTATAGTATTAACTTTCATTTTATGGAAGCAGCCGAAACCAAAGTATAATAGTAAAAGGATGACAAGGGCATGAACAGCCATTGCTACAGAAAATCCGAATCTGATATATGCAATTTAAGATGCGACATTTGAAATGATATTTTCCTCAATTTTGGTTTTAAAAGAGTAAGTGTACACCCTCAATAAATTTCATCACAGATTTCAATATGTTTATACCTATGATATTAAATTTAATATATATATATATATATATATATTATAAATCAAATTTCTTTCTGTTGTTATTTTTGTGGAATTGTATGCATAATTTGAATGAATAAAAAAGCACATACAGACACTTGTAAAAATAGTTTTATCTTTGGTGATGTAGGAATATACATTTTTTGTTTATATATGCAATACTCAATAAAAACAATATGAATTCAAATAAAGACGATTTCTATAGTTTCTTAATTATCTGTTATTAATAGTCAGTACAGAATGATTCAATATCATGCGCGTATTAATCAATTAAAAAATAAAAGATGTTTTATTTTACCTTAAGAATTATTTCAATCCATTAACTTCAAAATTTACTTTTTTAGAAAATTCATTCAGTATTTACAAGTTCAAAATACATTCGAAATGCCTAAAAAACTTTCGAGGAAAAAAATTTAATATGAATGTATTCAATCAAAAGAGAGAGATTAAAATATTCTTATAGGGTAACTTTAATTGAAAATTTTTAGACATATTTTATTTTGCTGAAATTACAATAGATATATTCTGAATGCTACAAATTTCAAACATGCCAATGATTACTGGATTCGTTTGAAATCATTCAAATTTCCTTCAGCCTAAGTTGATATAAGTTTGTCGTAGTTCAAAGTTCTCACACGTTGGTGTATTGTATAATTTAGGAGAGTAGGTTACCAGCTCAGGTGTCATCTTCATGATCTGACCTGTTTAAAATTATGAGGACCGTTACCAATAGCCATTTAACAGACAAATTCTGGCCCCAAGAATTTCTTAGTGGATACTGGTTTCTTGGTGTGCGTCACCACGGCAAAATACCACAGTTTCAGACTTTTACTTTAAAACTAAATATAAAACTAATATATTTCTTAACCTTTTCAATAATCAATATCCTGATAATAACAATAGAGTAGATACTGTCTGTAGTATTGATCACTTGGAGGAATTTATTGGCATTTTTATGTAATATGTGACATTATCCATTTTCAAAACATTTCGTATATGTTGAATTTTTCTGTTTTAACTTTTACCTCAAGGAATTCTAGCTTAAAAACTAGTAGGAATAAAATTAAGGTATTTAAACGAATATTGCCTTTTTTAACAAGAAATCTTTTTCCTGTTAAGGTATCCGACTACTTGCGACAACTTTTTCCTTAAAAAATGCAGATATGGAGTTTTTTTGTGTGGTTTTTAGATTTATTTAGTGCGTTTTAAGAAAAATATGCTAAAATTAAGAAGAAAAAGGAAATTTTTATAATTAAAATGGGAAAAAATTGGTAGAAATTTACAAAAAATTACATAAACATAAAAAATTACATAGAATTTGAAACTGGACAAAAAATTTTATGAACAAGTTTTCAATTTTAATGTGTTGCTTTGCTATTCATTTTTGAAATAATCTTCAGAATAAGAAATATTTTAGTTTTTACAAAAGCTAGAACACTTTATCTAAGTTATTATATAAAATTGCTTAAAAAAACATTGATTATATTCACATAAGGGACTGCAAATTTTGTTATAAAACAGTGATAAATAAATCTGAAGGTTAAAACACTTTTACTCTCATACAGAACATAACACAAAAAATACAGTTAATTATTTTCAAAACTTTTTGAGCAATTGCGATCCCCGTTTGAGCGTTTTCAAAGAAACACATTTCGAGTAAAACACATTTTAAAGTATGGCGTCTGGCTTAAAGTTGTGACATCGTCTTTTACTGTAACATTTAGTTTTTCTTCTAGTGAATGGAAAGTAATAAACTTGGTAATTTTATAAAGATAAAAAGATGATCTTTAAAATAAAATTATAAATTGTCAATTTTTGGCTAAATTTACAGTTTTAGAATAGTCAGATATACCTTCATGAGAATGAGGGAATTTAAAATCTTGTTTGAACAGAAAAAATCATTCGATAAAAAAACAATAATTTAAACCCAAAAGTAGCCTGGGAGAATTATACCCAATTCAATACTGAAAGATATAAATTAATTATTAAAATCACTTTTTTAAAAGATTTTAATATTAATATTTAAGAGAGATATATCCTTCTGATGCAACTCCAAAACAGAAAATCGATAAGCGTTTATGTACCTTTTTCCCATTTTTCCTCCTCTTTTCCTTTGGCTTTGGTAATTCTCCATCTCCTGAGGACATTCTTCCTAAGGATATGGAAGTTGCTTTTCGGAATTTAAAGGTCATATTTGGAAAATTATACTTCGAAAATGATATATTCATAAATATCCCCATTTAATTATAAAACTATTATGTGTATTGAGTTATATTATTTCCATAACAGCTAAAAGACTCTAAATTAACGTTATTATTAAAACCTGATAAGGATATATAGTCTTTTAATTCGTATCAACCAATTTCCTTGTTACCTAAATTCGGGAAAATAATTGAAGGGGCCTCTGATAACCGATTTCACTCCTGATTATTTAGTCATAACATTACCTCCCCCCACACACACACAACAAATAATATAAAAAAATTAAGTCAATTCCTACTTAGATCAACAAAGGAAAATTTTGTTTTAGTTATTTTTCATTAAAGTTGCAATTGATATAAATATGTATATACATATGACAGATTCACAATATAACGTGACTAAATAGAAAAAGCGATTTTCCTAACAATTTTCAATTTTCCTTTCTATATAGGGTGTTGGACTATTTTTTTTTGCTACTATTTATTCATTAATTAAATTTAATTATTCCAATAAAATATTATAGTAAAAAAAGAGGTCCCATTCTCAGAAACTAGGCCATCCCATGTGGGATTCGAACCCATGACCTTTGGAGTAGATTTCCAACGCGCTACCCAATACGCTACAGGGACACAATTAATAATTTTCCTTTATATTTATGTTGTTGGACTATTATTTTTGTTTGGTACTATTTATTCATCGTTTAATTTAATTACTTAATTAATATTTTAAAAAACTGTGTTAACACCAAGTGTCATCCTCTAGAAGTTTTAAAAAATGTATTCGAGCTTGAATGGATGAATAAAAATTATTTATTAGATTGAAAATTTAAACAAGACATACATATATATGTATTTCCTACTATCTTGACTAGTTATACTTAGGTTTTATAGCTATTTGTTTATATTTATGGATTATGTATGTAAATATATATATATAGGGAGGAAATGAACTAATAGAGTAGGAATTGTAGAATATGTTCAGTTTCCGAGAAAGCGTTAGTTGTGAGGATATGATTAACAGTCTAATTACTAATATTAAAATTAATAGACTCTAATTACACGTCTTTGATCCAAATTGAGAAAAATTGCGTTTCATATTATAAACAGGCTAACACTCTACAAATTTTCATAGTTATTATATTCCCCAATGTGCCGGCTGCGCGGCGTGGTTGGTTTGTCGCTGGCCTTCTGCACCGAACGTTGCGGGTTCGACCCCAGCCCAAGTCGGTGGATTTTGATGATCCACGAAATCGTATGTCGTATGATTATAAGACATGTAAAAGGTCCCTAGAGTGCCTGTTTGGCTTCGGTGCTCTCGGCAAAATTAAATCCTTGTACAGGTTCGCATCGTCAGAGCTCAGGTGCATCTCTCTATGGAAGAAACTTGGCGTCAAAATTACATGTGGCAATTGGTATCCACCAATATGGTGCCTCACTAAAAAGAGATACCAATTTCTAGGAACGTACTAGGTCTGGAATGGCAAATCATCAATCGCAGCCCATTTGAAATGGAAATAATATTCCCCATTCTTATAAGACTTATTTATTCCAAATTGATTAATCGATCTCTCTTATGTGTTTACAGCTCCAGTTTTTGTCTCAAACATCTAATTAAACTGTCCACAGTATTCGGTGCTCACACCTTCATTGTGGAACATTTATTTCTTTATCCAGTTCTAAAGTTTATTCTTGAAGAAAAAATTCTTTTGATTTAATTTAAGTTTATTTTAAATTATTTAATTTATTTTTTTATTAATTTATTTTATTTTTTTTTATTAATTTATTTATATTTTTTATTAATTTATTTTTTTATTAATTTATTTTATTTCTCCTTTTATTTCAAAACCTGTACAGACGATCTTAATGTTGTCGAAACAAGGAAGTTCCGCAAGTCTTTAGGTATTAACCACAAAGTAGCTATTGCAGTGTTTCTCAAACTGTGGGGCGTACCCCCTTAGGCGTGATAACCCTACAAGGGGGGCGCGAGTATATCGAAAAGTCGAAAGCAAACCTTATTTAAACAAATTATTAATTTACTGAAAGGAAGCAAAAAAAAAAAATAATAAGTTCTGATATAATAAAAAATAAGTACACATTTAAACTGATATAATACACTTATAAAAGTATCAGTACTGCGCCAAGTATTTCATAATTAATTTAACAGTACTAAGCCAAGAACAAATTTAATAATTACCAGTGACTCTATGGACACGTCATAAAATTATGTACAAATTTAATACTTATCTTGACAATTTGTACGGTTTATAATTAAAGTCATATTGTAGATTTACCTCAAAGTATATTATTATTGAATTCAATACATTATTATTGTATGTAAGGGGAGCGTCATGAAAATTATGATTAAAAATTGGGTCGCGAGTGTAGAAAGTTTGAGAAGCACTGAGCTTTTGACCAAGTTTCTCATCAACTCAAAAAACTTGTAATATTTTCTAAAAATATTTATTCTGTTATATTCAGATGTATAGCATGTGGTGGTACTGTACTTCACAAGGACTCTTATCTTTAAAATTATAAATGCAACTACTGAAGTTGTCAAATGTATATTCCATGTATCAGACTTATCATTGAAAGAGCTGGTTCTCTCTCTCCTGGTTCCCTTAAGATAATTTCTCAAAAAAGAGAATTCATCAAGAAGTTGTCAAATAGAATTTTTCTGAATCTAACATTGAAAAAGATTTTAAACTCTTTAGGCTTCTGTAATTGTGAAAACCCATTATAAATCTTATCAGGAATATATCTAAAATATTTTACTCACATGCTAAGACATATCCAAAAACTAAATTCTGTTTAATTAATTTAAATTTTATAAATTATTAAAGCTTGCAAAACTTCACTTACAAACGCCTTACAAATCATATCTGACACTCCCCCAAATTAATCTTCCTGTCAATAAAGCTGTTCATAAACACCAAATCTGGAAATTACGAAATCATGAATTTAATAATATTGATTGTCGTTCCATTGGAAATTTAACTTCCAATCACTGTGTGAGAAATCCTTTTCATTGAATTATTTAGTTTCACATCAATTTCAAAGTTCTAATCAATCAGATGGATTCAAAATCGGGATTGAGAACGAAATTGTAACAGTCCTCTTTTATAAGGTCATTAGTTTTAAATTTAAACTCTACACAGTTCGGTTTCAGACGGAGGTATCTGAATTGGATTCTTTGTCGTATGGGCAGTTGCTTACATCGTTAATATTTGTACTCACAATTTTTTTTCTTCAGTCTTAAAAATAGCTCTACGCGTATCTTAAATTAAAGAATGAACCATCTATTTATCGTAACATTCATATAATATTTTCTGGATTAACGCTCATCGTAATAATTTCTTTAATAGTGTACTAGATATTATAATACTCGTACTAAGGTCAGTCTATTAATGTTGTAGAGGTGGGTGTGCCAAAGACCCTTGCTTCAAAATCCAGCAAAATTTTCCAAAATAAATTAAGGACTGGGGAAGTTGGTGCTCAAACTTTAATACTGGCTTACGCGGGTCAAATTCTTCTTACTTAAGGCTGTTTTCGCCATATATTCGATAGTGTGTACTTAACGTGGAGCACATTTTCGTACAGAAAAAATGCCTCAGTTTTTATAAAAATGTGTGACATTGTAACTCATGCAATTGTTAATAATGCAGTGTTTTTAAAATTTTAAAATATTCCGTAAATAATCAGGTTTTCTTTTTAACATGTAAAAGGATAACTCATTTAGCAGTACGGTATAGGAGAAAAATGCGAAACACATTTTATAAGAGAAAAAATGTGTCAACTCAAATGAAAATGAGTGGTATGATAAAAAGATTCTCTGCATATATGATTGTGAAGCCACAATATAATATTAATGTTTGAGTACTTTTACATCTGAATATAGAAGTTACTCAAAAACTCGTGACTTCTAACAGAAGAATTTCATTTTGTTTCGCCACCTGAAAATGATTTACCTGAACTAATTTGTTTCCACGCTATCTTCAAAAACCTTTCATTCATTCTAAATTGAAATCATGCATTAAGGTATCCGACTACGTTCGAAACCGGGATTTTCAAAAGCGCATAAATGGATAATTTTCATGATATTTAGTGTCACTTAGATTAGAATATATGCACAAAATTGTTTTAAGGACATTTTGACAAAAAAAGTTATTTAAATACAATATTTTGGCAAAAAATTAACTTAGGATAATCTTTTTACCAAATGTTCTCCTTTTGTGAAAAATGTTTCTATTAGAATAATTTTTTGCCTGTCTATAGCTCAGACCTCTGTTCAGAGGCTCAACTAGAATTTTTGAAATATATAACTTAGAAGTGGGTTTATTCATATTTTACGACAACAGAAGGGAGCAATTTTAAGAAAAAAATCGGGTGGGGCTGTGCTGGGGCACACAGCCGTTGGTTTTCACGTGAAACGTCTATGTTAGCGAATCGCTTTTAAAGTAAAAGATTGAAATAAATAAAAACAGGATTGACGGTGTTTTAAGTATTTTAATAAAAAAGAACAGATACATAATAGAAACATAAATTATTTATTACAATTAATATTCGACAACGATTTTATTTAACATAGGTTTGTGATATGTGAAATAAGAAACATACGGCATAATGTCAACATTAATATTTCTGGTGAATGTACAGTCTATAGTGGTATTGCCTAATGTTGTCGGTGATGTTTGTACGTAGTTAAGGCCGAATTCATTCCTCATGAACTCAACAAGATAGCTGTTCTGTTGTGGATCTCAATTGAAATCGCCGCATAGAACGATTGGAGTCTCCAAGTCTGGCTGAGAGTTCGGTATTAATTTTGTTAAGTTTGCTGAATATGGCAGGAGTGATTGATAAAGACATAGCTTAACAGCTTCAGCCGACGCCTTTGGATGTATATATACGGCACCGAGGATAAACAGCGTAAGATCTTCGACTTTAACGTCCACCAAGCATATGTCGCCGACATTATGTTTTATAAGACTGAATTTCCGCATGACTTGTTGGCATTTACTATGATTTCGCTACAGTCTGTGGAGCTTTGTAGGTTTCTGTAGATTGCAGAACCTCCGGCTGCAGAAACTCGCACCGGCAATTCAGATGAGGTAGACGGACAATGTGTACGATGTTCAAGTGCGGTGTTATTACTTGCTCTTAGCTCGAAGCCATTGATCATCACAGTGTTCGCGCAATTTATCTCGCTAATTACCATATAATCGGAGTTCGTAGCACATCGCATCCAATCATGCTCACTTCGTCGATTATGATGCATTTCACACCAATGAATGTACTTCTGTAATTTTGAAGATTTTGTTTGAAGGAAAGAAATGTTGCGATGTTTCACTTTCTTTAAGTCTCTTTCGAACCAAAGTCGATCACAAACGCTGCAAGATAAACCAAACGGATTGGCTTCAAATACCGTTTTGAAGCGTTTGTCCGCTGAACGCCAATGATTTTGCATTGTTTCACTTCTACTGATAGTAAGATCTCTCAGTTCCGTGGCAGATCCAATAGATATATCGATTGTCTGTTCATTCGTTACGTCCATAAGTACAGGTATTCCAGTGTTAGAGGTGCTCGCGAGGTCGGCTTTGCGACGTTCCCGAAACCGTCTCGCTCGCTCGGCGCCG